TGTTTTTCCTAAGACGAGAAGTTATTACCTAGACTGTGTTCTAGAAGGCATGCTTTGATTGTGCACCTCGTCTGCGTGAAACATGGAGACTCATAGGTATATTGTTGGGCTTGTCCTGAAAGAACACAAGGCTAGGGTGATAAGCTGAAGGAATTCGTCAAATCTCTGTGAGAGATTAGGTTATCTGTAAACCGGAGAAATCGGGATGACATTTACAGGGACTCGGGAATCTATGCATAGTAAAAGAGATCATGAGATGATCTGCCTTTAGAGTCTGTAAATTGAAGATTCCCTAATTTCGAATAAAGCTTACCCTAAACCGCAGGGGTTGATACGCTTCCTTACCCTAGGTTTTATGGGAAGGTAACCGAGACGAAAGGAAATATATACGACAACCAAATATGTTTAATAGGATGATCAAATCATTAATCTAACTAGTTCTGGGGCAACAAAGCATTGCTAGTGCTCTGTGCTGTCATTAGATGGGTTGTGGGCTTGTTGGGCCCAAGCCCATTTATGTCAGTGGCTAAGTTGGACCTAATGGGTCACACACAAACACCTAATTGTCTAGATGCTCTAGCATTAAAGGTATTGGGCCTAATAATAGTTATTAGCCCAAGAAGTTGTTTGGAACTCCACCTAAAGGGGTGGAGGGCGCATGGTTCATTGTAATGGGCTTGGATAGTCCAAGACATTACTAATTAATTTAATTAGTTAAATTAATTATCAAACATTTAAATTTTGAATTTTGGAATTTGAAATTTGAATTTTGAAATTTTGAATTTTGAATTTGAATTTGAATTTCGAATTTTGAATTTGAAATTTGAATTTTGAATTTTGAAATTTGGATTTTGAATTCGAATTTTGAAATTCGAATTTTGAAATTTGAATTTTGAAATTTGAAAATTTGAATTTTGAACATTTGAATTTGAATATTTGAATGTTTGAATTCAAATATTTGAATTTGAATTTGAATTGCCTATGAAAGGTTGTTTCATAACAAAAGGATAAGAGGAGATCTTGTTGGAACAAATCACTAGTATCATGGGAGAATCTTTTGGACAAGATCCAAGGCCATATATGGCGCTGATTTGGGTTGTTGGTGAGCAAGATTTGCTCATCAAAATCAGCTCAAGAAGATTCAGTCAGTTGGGAGAAAATCTGAGTGAGTTGATTCAAATTTGAATGCAACTACTCAGATGTATCTGGTCACCTTTTTGGGCTATATGGGGCGCACCATATAGCTGATCTTATGAAGATTTCTGATCAGAATTTTGAATAGGTTTTGAACCAATTCTCAAGAGAATATTCTAGGAGATTGTTAGCAATTTTTGAAATAAAACAGCTCCACTTCTCTCTCTCCTATCTGGCGCCTAATGATCAGATTTTTAGGAGAAAAATCTGATTGGTATTTTATTTTAAATACTCTCCTCTTATGTGCCTAAGTGTTCAGTTGTTCCTCCAAGGGTTTTTCTGAAAACCTAGCCTATTCTTTCCTCTCTTCTGCGCTACTTGTGAAGCTTTCACATCGAGAGCTTCACTTTTTCAAACACTTTCACCTAGTCTCCATCTTCACACATAGAGCGCCTAGCAAGCCTCTTTGTGGTGATCATACAGTGGCTTCACAAGAAGGAGTTCTTGCACCTAGACGAGTGGGTGGTGTGGATCAACGTTAGAGGGTCTGAACCCTTCAGACCAGCCTTGATCATCTGGTGCTTTCACGAACAAGGTAACATGCTTTCCTAAAGCATGATCTTAATGTGCATGTATATTCCGCAAAGAAAAATTTTGTTTTTCCCTCTTGCATACATCGGCCTTCAAGGCCAATTCGAACTTTCAGAGCTGTCAAGAAGGGCTCAAGCCCTAGGGCCAGCCCTATAAAATTTTAGTCCTCTATGTAATGGGGCCATTTTAAGCCTATCCTTTTAAAACCCTCTCATTATGGGTTAGGTTGGGGCTGGCCCGCGGGCTACAATATTTAACCCAATTTACAACGAAAAAATTTCATCAAAAGTTTTGACGGAAAAAAGAATTCCTTCAAAAATTTTGACGGAATATTTTCCGTCCAAAATCTTCGAGGAAGATGTGACCCAATTAAAATTACAACGGAAATATTTTTTTCAAAATTTTTGAGGGAAATGTATCTGTGAAACTTTCGACGGAATTTAGATTTCGTAAAGATTTTTTACAAAATATTTTTTTCGTTGAAATTTTTTACAGAAATATTTTCGTCAAAGTTTTTTACAGAAATAATTTTCGTGGAAAATTTTTAACATAAATGTGTTTCATTTAAAATTTTGATAGAAATATTTTTTATCGAAAATTTTGTCAAAAATATTTTTCGTCAAAAATTTTAGAAAGAAATGTGTTTCGTCAAAAATTTTGACGAAAATTTTTTTCGTCCAAAATTTCGACAAAAACTTTTTTCATCAAAAATTTGAAAAGTAAATTTGTGTCAAAAAATTTGACGGAAATTTTTTCGTAAAAAATTTCGACGGAAATTTTTTTTGTCAAAAATTTCAACAAAAACTTTTTTCGGCAAAAATTTCGACGAAAATTTTTTCGTCAAAAATTTCTAAAAAAACTTTTTTCGTCAAGAATTTCGACGGAAATTTTTTCGTCAAAAATTTCGATGAAAATTTTTTCTTCAAAAATTTCAACGGACATTTTTTCGTCAAAAACTTTTACGGAATTTAGATTCTGTAAAGAATTTTAACAAATTTTTTTTTTCGTCAAAAATTTTGACGGAACTTTTTTTTCGTCAAAAATTTTGACGGAACTTTTTTTGTCAAGAATTTCGACGGAAATTTTTTCGTCAAAAATTTCGACGAAAATTTTTTCTTCAAAAATTTCAACGGACATTTTTTCGTGAAAAACTTTTACGGAATTTAGATTTTGTAAAGAATTTTGACGAATTTTTTTTCGTCAATTTTTTTACAAAAACGTTTTCTGTCAAAACTTTTTACGAAAAATTTCTATGCAATAATTTTTTTAAAAAGTGACAATTTTCTAAAAATTATTTATTTTTATTTTATCTAATAATTTCTATGCACCATTTTATTATAAATTTTTTTTATCAAAAAATACATATTATTTTTTTAGAAGGCCCGCGGGCTGGTCCTAACCCATAGAGCTTTGGCCCGTGTAGATCTATATCATTGTAGGCTTTTTGGCCCTGCAGGCTTTTTGGCCCTAACCCACTTGGGCTACGGCTAAATGGGCTCGGGATGGCCCGTTTTGACAGCTCTAGTGAAATGACACAAGTTGTGTCATTTAAAATGACAAACATTATGTTATCAAAAAAAAAAAAAATGACAAACATTTTTCCCTTAAAATAATCTACTACACTTTGATAATTGTTTATATTTCATCATTTGATGGTCATGTGGAAAAGCATTTAAGCGAAAAAGTTTTAGTTCCTCATGAAAATTCAACTATATATACACTCCAACTCTTTTGTCAAACACTTCTTTATTTTGGTAGTAAGATCCAAACCAATCTTTATTTTGGAACGAAAGTGAAGATCGTAATTTTTTTTAGGGACCAACATTTTTTTTTTACTCTATTCTTTATGTTGAATCATTCACATTCAAACCAATGTCATTAAAGATATTGGTGATCCACTCGGTACAAATCAATGGATCATTACTTCAATCTTTGAGTCATTGGCTTACCCATTGAATTATTGTTTCAATGGCTTGAACTGAGTTTATATAATAATAATGACATTTAATCAAACATGATGATATGGTATAATGGGAAATGTTATTCCCCAAGTCGCAGGTTTAAACCTTAAGTATAGAATTTGTCACCGAATATTTTACAACAATTTTCGTAAACCGTATCAACTAAAAGACAACAGTATAAATTTAACACCAATCGAATCTTGTCCAAGAATGGCTCACTGATTTAATAACACGAGTTATCAAATAACTCAATTAAACCGATTGGTGATCCGATTTTCTAATTCAACGATTTGGTTTAATTTTAATAATATCAGTAGAAAGTCCAAACAAGATGCATCTATAAAAAAAATATATTAAATGTTCAAGTCATTTATGTTAAAAAATTTATGTTAAAAAGATTTAGTTTTTTTTTTTTTTTGGTATCCTAAAAAGATTTAGTTTTTAACATAAATGACTTAAACATTTAATTTAATTTGTTTTTACAGATGCATATGGTTTGGACTTTGGATTGATATTATTAAAATTAAATCGAATCAGATTAGTCGCAAAGAGATGAATCAATTGAAATATCTTAAAAAAAAAATTTAGTTTGATCCAAATGATGGTAGCTCAAGTTGGTACATAGGATAAGAGCATGTGTGCGATCCTTCTCAGTATCATCTTTGGGAAGGGTTTAAAATCTTAATCCTAGACCTGTCTCGAATAGATATGCCTCCTATGAAAGGTAGATGTGGTGTATAAAAAAAATTTGATTCGAAATCAATCTAATTTTGTTTAGAAAAAAATAATCAATCGAATTTGGAGCAATTATTATTGTTATTATTATAGGTTTAAAGTTTTTAAAGTTATTTTAGATAATTTTATTTAATATTCATCAAAATACACACAAAAAGTATGTGAGGCTCATATTTTTTTTACCTCTCTTCTTCTCATATGGATACACATGGATCCCATTCTTTCTTTCTTTTGTTTATTTTGGTGAATATTAGATAAAGTTATCTAGATTAATGGTAGGAACTTTAAACCCTATTATTATTAAAAAAAACCACTCCTTTATCAATTTGTCATTTAATGTTTCTGTTCGATGGAAAAATATTTTGTTGCATAAAAAATTTCTGTACCATATTCACACAAAAATAAATGAGTGGTAGAGAGATATTTGTGTGCAGGAAAATCAGAAATATTAAAACCCTTATTTATTTATATAAAAAGCAGCTAAACAAAAAAAAAAAAGTAGCTAAACAACGATGTCGTTTTGTACATTCCAGTTTTTATACCCTATCTTTCTAGTCCTCTGCATCTCAGTTTCACCTCTCTGTCACGCTGCCCATAACAAGAGCACGAGCTGCCGCCGCCGCCACTACCGTGAACACCCCATACGACGTCGCAGGTATCTCTCATTCTCACTCGCTCTCTATCGCCTGCCACACACACGCACACAACTGAATTGAATTTCATCCCAAACAAATTCCGAATCGTTTAGTTCAAAAATAAAATAAAAAATCAACTAGGCATAAAGGTTTCAGTCCCTAGCAATTTTTTCCAGTTTCATAACTCATCGAAGCTTATTTAGTTATTTATTACTCTTATTGTTTCTGTGAATATTAGAACAAAAAAATACCATCAGTGTTTTTGACAAATTAGGGTTTGGTTACCCCCTTCTCAGGAAACAACACCGTTCATTTTGATCGGATCGGAAACATCGAAATCAAAGTAATGGCTGAGTATGACCTAACACCGCGTATGGCGCCGAACATGGACAGGCACCTTGTGTTCCCTCTTTTGGAGTTTCTGCAGGAGCGACAGCTATACGACGATGACCACATTCTGAAGGCCAAGATTGAGCTCCTCAACAACACCAACATGGTGGACTATGCTATGGACATCCACAAAAGCCTCTACCACACCGAAGACGTTCCTCAACAAATGATGGAAAGGAGGGCCGAAGTCGTCGCCAATCTCAAATCCCTTGAGGACGCCGCCGCGCCACTCGTCTCCTTCCTTCAAAACCCCGCTGCCGTTCAGGAACTCCGGGCTGACAAGCAGTATAATCTTCAGATGCTTAATGATAGATACCAGGTTCATCAAACTTTTCCTTTTTATTAACTTACTTAGTGTTGTATTTGGATAAAAAAAATTACTTTTTTGTTTAAGGAATGGAGAAGATTGTTGCTATAAAGCTCCTATGTGGGTTTGTAATAGGTGGCCTTGATTTGTATTATTTGCAAGAGGCTCATTAGGATGAAATTTTGCTTGTTGGGTTATGGTATATTAGGAGTAGAATCTCGAGAATGCGAACCTAGTAAAAAAGATTGTTAACCGAATTTTAGATTCTGATGTTGGGTTCCTCAAACTAGTATAAGGATCTCAAACTAGGCTATTGATTTGGACCCTGGGGGTATTTAAGTGCTCTATCCTTTAAGCACTGTTATATAAGTGGTTTGTAATAAAATCCCAATTTTAACTAGCTAGTATCATTTTAACTACATTAGTGTTTGTTGATGTTATTTACATAACGGTTAGTGTTGTCGCAACAAGACCCAGAAGCTACAGTTTTTAATAGTGTAATCAGCCTCTTGCAAATGCAAGGTAAGGCTGCCTACAATAGACCTAAATCCATTGTGACCCACACAATGGGTCCAGACCTTGCCTGGACCTTGAGCATAGCAGGGGCATATTGCATCGGGTTACTCTCTTTTTGTGTTCTAACTCCTCAAATGATGATTATGTTGTAACAGATTGGTCCTGCACAAATAGAGGCATTATACCAATATGCCAAATTTCAATTTGAGTGTGGAAACTACTCTGGTGCTGCTGATTATCTTTATCAGTACAGAGCTTTATGCACAAACAGTGAACGGAGTCTAAGTGCACTGTGGGGAAAGCTGGCAGCTGAAATATTGATGCAAAACTGGGACATTGCTCTTGAAGAGCTCAATCGTTTGAAGGAAATCATTGACTCAAAGGTTGGTTGGTTTATCAGTTGATCTTTTGTGTAGCAGCACATACTTGTTGGTAATGCTTATATTAATATAGACTAACTAGCTGTGAACCTTGCTGCAGAATTTTTCCTCACCCTTGAATCAGGTGCAAAGCAGAATATGGTTGATGCATTGGAGTTTGTTCATCTTTTTCAACCATGACAATGGAAGAACACTGATAATTGATCTATTTAATCAGGACAAGTATGCTTTGTTGACTTAGCTATATTTTATTTTTATTGTTAATCCTCATCAAATTGGTAAATTGCTTCCTATCTCTGGGGTAGCTTTGTTCTTGCATCTTCTAGGCTTATTATTTGTAATGTTTCTTTATCTAAGGTGTGATATAATTTCCAGGTATCTAAATGCAATCCAAACTAGTGCTCCACACCTTCTACGTTACTTGGCCACAGCATTCATTGTCAACAAGCGTAGGAGGCCTCAATTCAAAGATTTTATAAAAGTTATTCAACAAGAGCAGCATTCATATCACGACCCCATCACTGAGTTTTTGGCTTGTGTTTATGTAAACTATGACTTTGATGGGGCTCAAAAGAAGATGAGGGAGTGTGATGAAGTAAGTGTGCTCTATGTTGGCTAGTTAATTCATGTAAACTGTGGAAGTGATGTAACTCGAATAGTTTATTCAGTTTTCCTTATTCTTATAGTATTTTGTCCATGTTAATTACTATCTACGCCTGAATGTGTTGATTATAATATGCATGTCTATTGTGAAAATGCAGGTAATTCTCAATGATCCCTTCCTTGGTAAAAGAGTTGAAGAAAGCAACTTTTCAACTGTACCATTAAGGGATGAGTTCCTTGAAAATGCTAGGCTATTTATCTTTGAGACATACTGTAGAATACACCAACGCATTGACATGGGGTATGTACCTAATTTCTCATATAAGATATTGCAGATATTTCTGTTATGCATCCACAATTTTGCACCCACCAAAAAACACAATTCAAATTCTGTGCCCTTGATCTTTGAGACAGTCTGTAAAAGTAAAAGGCATATAATAAGAGTTATGCTTTTTCTAGTGGCCACAAAGGTTTGGCACTAGCTCTTCTCTTTATTTCTCATTTTTAAGGGGGTGGTATTAGTATATAATGTTGTATTTTCTCAATGTATTTGTTTCTATTGTTGATGACTTGATGATTTCTTTTGGTCTGCTTTTTCATGCAACACAACTGAATGTTATTATGGGGATTTAGTAACCAAATCTTCTATAAGTAGGGTTGCCTAATTGCTAATATTTTTTACAGAGTTCTTGCTGAGAAGTTAAATTTAAATTATGAGGAGGCTGAGACATGGATTGTAAATCTCATCCGTAGCTCAAAGCTTGATGCTAAAATTGACTCTCAAACTGGAACCGTTATCATGGAACCCAATCATCCAAATGTGTAAGTTAACTTTGATTACAGACTTGATAGATAAGGACATTTATTGCTTCCTTTCGACTCAGCCATATTGACTGGTGTCCCCCTTTCCTTCATATTTGTCATCCTTCCATTTTAAGACCTTTGATCTTTGAAGTGCTACATCTCCAGGTATGAGCAGCTGATGGACCATACCAAGGCCCTTAACGGGCGTACTTACAAGTTGGTCAGTCAACTTCTGGAACATGCACAAGCTCAGACAGCCCGATAACTGGCTAGGTAGACTGATGAGATTATTTGTTTTATCTTTCCAGATACCTTGATTTGTTTTTTTGGATTTAGAATTACGTCAATTTGATGGGATGTAATCGCTCTCTAGAAGATGGCTTTTTGGATAGCTCTCATATGTTAAGGTGTTGCCCCAAACGTGTAGGGTTGATAATTACCTTTTTGCTTAATATGTTTTCCATAAACTTCATAATTTCAGGAATATTTGCCCTTTTTAATCTTTTTAGAAATCATCTCATTTTTTCTCTTTTCATTTTTGTCTCTCTTTCAAATATCAGTATACAATTCCAATGTTAACTATGTGTTGCTTTGCTAACTATTTTGCAAGTAGCATGTAAGTATACACGACAAGAAGTAATATAGCTCGTGTTTAAAATCTGATTATCGTTTCTTCATATAGTCACGTGGAAGTGATTTTACAATTGCTATATAGAAAAACTAAAACTAATGGAATAAAACTTGATGTTAGAAATATGTTTTTGAAAGGATTTTCTGATTGTCTTGTGAATTAAGTTGTTGAAGGCAAACAAAGTTAAAAAGGGGTTCTTGGAAATTTTTCAGAGAAATTATTTAACTTGTTAAAAAACAGAATTTCAAAAAACTGATTAAGTGAGTAATTGATAGAGTAAATCTTTTAAGGTAGAGAAAATAGGTTGAGTATCCAGTATCCGTCATTTCTTATGTTTTTATAATGTGATTGGGTTTTTGAATGAGTATCCAGTATCCGTCATTATATATATATATTCGAATATTCACATGTGCTTCCTTCTTCATGTCTAAAGTAAGGAGTCTATTTGAATAAGTTTTTATTCAAGGAACATATGCTTGACAAAAGTCTAATGGTTCTGTTCATCGACAAAGATCCTCTCAGCTAATTTTCATGCTTGGCCTTTGCAAGAAAAACATAGAACAATTTTTAACTCATCAAGCATACTGGAATAAACAGACCTGACGTTAAAATCAGTTTAAAAACAATAAGCAAATTGGGCTAACATTCACCCCAACCTAGCAATAATTTAGCTCAAACCCATTTTGGGTTGAGCATCAAAACAGTAACCAGAAAGTGAAATTACAGAACCAAACACAAAAATGTAAACTATTGCAGCTGCAAGTCTGCAACATCACCGATTCTTGATTTAGTGGTTAATATTTCCATATCTCTGGTTCATTGATTCTTGATTGAATTGTATCGGTAACCGATCAATTAATTGTTTAGAGATCCCATTTTTGATTCAACCGGCCGGTTGAGTCCGATTTTAATTAGAGCTGTCAAAAAAATGGCTCAAGCCGTAGGGCCAGCCTTATAGAATTTTAGCCCTCTATGTAATTGGGCCATTTTAAGCCCATCCTTTTAAAGCCCTCTCATTATAGGGTTAGGTTGGGGCTGGCCCGCGGGCTACAATATTCAACCCATTTTACAACGAAAAAATTTCATCAAAAGTTTTGACAGAAAAAAGAATTCCTTCAAAAATTTTGACGAAATATTTTCCGTCCAAAATCTTCGATGAAAATGTGACCCAATGAAAATTACAACGGAAATATTTTTTTCAAAATTTTTGAGGGAAATGTATCTGTGAAACTTTCGACGAAATTTAGATTTCGTAAAGATTTTTGACAAAATATTTTTTTCGTTGAAATTTTTTATAGAAATATTTTCGTCAAAGTTTTTTACAGAAATAATTTTCGTGGAAAAATTTGTAACAAAAATGTGTTCAGTTTAAAATTTTGATAGAAATATTTTTTATCGAAAATTTTGTCAAAAATATTTTTCGTCAAAAATTTTGACGGAAATTTTTTTCGTCCAAAATTTCGACAAAAACTTTTTTCATCAAAAATTTCGACGTAAATTTTTGTGTCAAAAATTTTGACGGAAATTTTTTTCGTCAAAAATTTCTTCAAAAACTTTTTTCGTCAAAAATTTCGACGGAAATTATTTCGTCAACAATTTCGATTTTTTTTTTTCCGAAAATTTTTCCGTCAAAAATTTCGACAGAAATTTTTTCGTTAAAAATTTTGACGGAAATTTTTTGCGTCAAAAATTTCAACAAAAAATTTTTTCGTTATAAATTTTGACAGCAATTTTTTCGTCAAAAACTTTTACGGAATTTAGATTCTGTAAAGAATTTTGACGAATTTTGTTTTTCGTCAATTTTTTTACAGAAACGTTTTCTGTCAAAACTTTTTACGAAAAAATTTCTATGCAATAATTTTTTTAAAAAGTGACATTTTTCTAAAAACTATTCAATTTTATTTTTTCTAATAATTTCTATGCTTCATTTTATTATAAATAGTTTTTTTAAAAATACATATTATTTTTTTAGAAAGCCCGCGGGCTAGCCCTAACCCATAGGGCTTTGGCCCGTGTGGATCTATATCATTGTGGATTTTTTGGCCATGCGGGCTTGTTGGCCCTAACCCACTTGGGATAGGGCTAAATGGGCCGGGCTGGCCCGTTCTGACAGCTCTAATTTTAATAACATTGATGACAAATCAATCAAAATTAAAAATGTCTAAAAAATAAAGAAAAAAAGTTTAAAAATAACTATTACTATGTAATCTGCATTCTATACTCCTTAAAAAAATAAAAATAAAACGTTATAATATTTATTAACATTAAACACCTCTAAAATAACCAAATAATTAAAATAAAAATATAAAATTATGATACTATCATTAAAAATAAAAAATGAGTAGAATTACATCCGATGGTAGGGGAAGATATTAAGGGGCATTTGGTAGAGGATTTTTTTTTTTTTTTTTATCCGAAAGTCACGATTCTCAGGAATATGATGGGAAATTGAGTTTTTCAGGAATGTTACCGAAAGTTATTTGGTAGGCCAAAATATTCCGGGAAATGTTAGGTTAATTTTTCTTATGTTTAGTTATTTTTGTTTGAAAAATTATTCATATTTTCTCATCATTTGAGATTCCTGAAATACCACCCTCTCAAGTCTCGATGGTATTTTAGGGTGGTATTTTGATATAGAAAATACACACAAACAGAATTCCGAATTTTTTCTTTAATGTGCTACCAAACATGGGATTCTAGGAAACATGCCCTCACTTTCCCTCGAGTCTAAAATAATCCTCCTACCAAAGACATCATAAAATAATATATTTCAAAATAAAACTCATCTAAATTCATTTAACCTACTACTACAAACAATTCATTTAGGGGGTGTATTGAATTGGGACATCAAAGAATTTTAATTTATTATTTTTGGACAAAAATATCTATTGGTATTCAATTAGAATTTTAATTGAAAAAAATTGCGTGGTATTCGATTAGGATTTTAAAAGATTATTTCAGAGTCTGTGCAAATCCGTTGGTATTCAATCAGAATTTTAAACAAAGGAAAAACAATCTTCTGGTATTCAAAAATCTGACGATTTTGATGGATTTTCTATTGATGTGGATTTCGTGAAACTTTTTAGTGAGAAATATAAACAGGATGCATTTCTCACAATCTCACCCTAACCCCTAGGATTTATTGAGATTTATCTATTGCAGTGTCTTTTTCTTCCTTTGGTGGGTCAACGAGCTCGAACCCGAATTTCACCATGAGAGTTTCTTCAAAGCTCAAAAATAGCAGATGTTTTAGCGATTTTTATCACAAAATAACTCAGAAATAATAACTTAACAAAATTTTAATCTAATCCATCTCAAAAGCAGTAGATTTATTCTCATTTTTTTAGAGTTTTTGAAAGTTTAAAAATGATATTTCAGGCTATTGGTCGCGATTTTTCTTGATACAAAAGTTTAAAAACAACATAAAACAGTGGGAAGACAACAGTGAACAAAAACCCCCAAATCAATTTTCATTTTATATCAATGAAACAAGATTCATTTAGAGAAAAATTAAAACTTTCATAATATGAACCCTCTGTTTACATTTATAAATGAAATTCCTTCGTTATAGGAAGCAATTTCTAACAATTTTTGTGTCAATAGATCACTAAAAACTTATTTTTCAAAAGCCGCAAAACAATTTAAAGTCTCAGTGTATGAATTGAAATTAACTTAAGAGATTTTCTAAACTTTCATGTAATAAAACTCAGAAATTAATATTCGATTTTTTTTAAATACTTAATAAAAACATGCAAATGATATATGGTTAGAAACCTCTTATCACGTAGAACAAAAACTCCCAGGCTTACAAGATCAATTGTTAACAATTCTGAATGAAATTTAATTATTATTTTTACTAATTAAAAAAATTATATTAGGTTTTATTTTTTTATTAATATAATTACATTTCTTTATTTTTTTAATTAACTCTTGTAATTTTGAATATTTGTTAAAAATTTATATAATTTTTTAAAATGTTATAAATCTATATTTTTGTTTCAAACTTTATACATAATATTAAAATCCTTTAAAATCAAATCTTATGAAATCAAAAAAAGTCTTTTAAATTAGTTTTTAAAGTTTTTCCAATTCTAAATAATCTTTTAAATTTTATAAAAAAATTTCTTTAAAAAAAAACTTTTAAAATTCTAATCGAATCTCCTTAGTCCCAAATTATTCATAAACCCTAATCCCTGCAGCGATGTTGGTCTTTGTCATCCCTGACTTGAGCACTAGATTTGCTAGCCAGTGTGAACATTTGTTCCCGTTTCAGCAGTGTCCTTGAATTTCCCAATCTTTGTTGATCCAGTTCTGAATTTCCTTGACAACATTGGAGTCCCTACTACGATTGGGTTACGTTCCTCTCTTTCTTCTTGCTGATAATTTTGTACAGCAATTCAGGTCTTACAATCCTCGATTTGATCCTATGAAGGGAGGACACTTGAAGATGAAAAGATTGAAAAACATGGTAGAGTTGGATCAAAATAGCGAGATTAGAGTTGGAGATGTGACTTGGCTTTGCTCCCTTTCAGAGTTCGAGATTGTAAGTCTCTTACTCTTTTGTTTATTAACTTGATGGCTCACATTGCATCATTATTTTCTCTCTACGTTGGTTGTATTAGATAATATTTCTTTCAGTATTTGTGTTTCACTTCAAAATAAGTGACAGGGTGGTTAATCTCTAGGTGTTCAGTAAAAAGTTTCAAGTCAGAAACCGTGCTCAAAAATTACAAATGATGGAAGAAATTACACTCTTAGCATTTTTTATTGAATAATAATGGAAAAATATTTAAGGATAAAACATTGTGTCATTTTAAATAAAATTAGTATGTTTCATGGTAAGAGAGATTTGTCACACAATGGAAGATCATCATGGGAGAGAGCGAGAGGTTTTTGATGGAAGTTTTTTTAGTTTAAATATTAAGTGAAGAAACACTACAGGTTCACTTGAAATGACACAATATGTTGTTTTTTTTTTATTAAAGTACAAACACTTTTCCGATTATAATTATGTTAAAGAGGATACAAGAATGTGCAAAGCGGATGAGGCTAAGATATCCGTAACGTAAGAGTTGATTACAAAATTAATAATAGTAATCCAAAAGTTTTGAAGGTAATCTAAAGGTTTAACTGTATTAGTTAACAACGTAACAAGTCTTCTTCTATATATTATATTCTAGGGACATTTTTGCAGTAGCTACTTTCCTTTGGAATTAGTTTTTTGCGTGTTGGATGTATATTGAATGTGCCCCTTCACTTTGGAAAAGTCTCTCTCTGTTCATTTTATTGGTGGATTTAGCAATGAGGCAAAAGTTTTGCAGCACTATGATGGTACCTGCTGATGAATATTGAAACGGCATTCTACTACTAACGTTTAACAGCAAAACAATTCACAATCAGAGCAACAATTTCTGAAATACCTCTGTGTCACGTTTTATTCAAAAATAAACTCCCAAAGTAACTATCATCAGTATAAACCAGAAACAGGACTCCAACCTTCCATACATTGAAGGGAAATACATTGCAAATGAAAATAAGACTCAACAAATACTCAGACGCAATCTGCACTGCAATGGATACAATGCACTACAAGAAAATCATTACAAACTCTTTATCTCATAATTAAATCACTCAATTTCCCTCGGGTGCATCTACAAACGAACCCTGTTGCAGAAGAACCCCTACCCCCCTCTCCAAGTTGCTGATAAATTTCTTCACACCTTTTTCCTCCTTTCCACTCTCCTATAACCAACTCTTGTCACGTTCCTTGGCTCCCCAATTTCCTCCTGGCCATTCAGCAGCTGCCAAGTGTCCACCATACTCTTGTGCATAACTAATTTCATCCCTTTACTAGCTCTTTGGGCCTTCACCTCTTCTTCTCTACTCGTGTTGCTTGGGCTTGGATCCAACATATCTTCTTGGCTGTTGTGAACCCCCACCAACACTTTCTGATTCTCTATCAATTTGCTGACTTGACTTTTATCTCCTTGTTGGGGTTTGCTGACTTGATCTTTATCTCCTTGTTGGGCTGAGCTTGCTTTAAACTTCCTTCTTTTATAACTCTGCATAAAAGGCTCTAATGGCCCATCAGCACTATGCTATTTTTACAGTCCTGTGGTACATTTGATTGAAGAGGATTGCCCACAATTTTTTAGGATACATATTTGCCATTATGTTTGTGATAGGATTGCCTTTGTGTCGTTTATTTGGTGCTCTCATTGTTTCAAGTTTCAACAGATTTACCATTTCTAATATTCAGAAAGATTAGATAGTCTTGCTGATTTTTGAATACTTATTTTTCGCTTTGGGTTTTTCTTGTTGGATATCGTATCCTCCCCAAATTGTACTTTTACTATTCTCTATAATAAAAATTTCTTTTCTATAAAAAATTAATATAATAACTAATAAGCCCATGAAAACATATTTAATTGGGTAATAACCAGTTCATTAAAAAATGGCTGGGTAATGTGGCTTTGACGAGGTTATGTGCGCAAATCTAGTTTAAACTTTGAAGTAGACCTGACCGATCACCGATAGCTGGTTATATGTGTTTGATGAATTTTGAGTGTGCCCCTTCACATTAGAGTGATTTCTCATATAAGTTCTTGATATTCAAATTTTGAAATTTTGGCAGGATATGCTGATTAGCTTGAAACTGCTGATCATTCAGCGTGCAAAAATGATAGGCTGTGATGAACTGGCTAATAAATTCGACCTTAAGATGATTCGAGCCATAGGTATGCTTTTCTTTTCAACTTATTTGATGCCTTTTCAAAATTTCAGATGCATAATGTTCCTTGGTTATGCATGCAAAATCTTATGCTTTTTTATCTTGTTGATTTAGCCATGTCTTTTTTTTGTGTTTCGTTGGTATATAATGTTGATATTGAAGACGAGGCACGGTTCAAGAGGTTTCAGTTTAAAAAAGAAAAAAAGAAAGCATTTCCTGTGTATTGTTGATTAGGTATAATGTTTTAGCCTTTATCAAGGATCTTTGTTGGACCTTCTGTCTGTGTACAAGAATTAATTAAATTATTTCAGAATGTTCTTTGCTTGCTTCTTTTGAAATCATTGGACTCTGGCCTGTAATTGTGTCTGCCATATTCTGATTGTTTCATACAATCAATGAATTGCTGGAGTATTATGGTCACAATTCATAATCCTTACTGATTTGTGCCTTTTATTTGGGAGTCTGAGATATAGACTGGAATTGAATTGAATTTTGCTGTATTTACTGCAATTAATTGACTTTCTTATTAACAGGTGCATGAAAATCAATCCACTTCTTGCACTAATAGCTAGATAATATGTGATTACCAGTTAGTTAAACAATTTTAATAGCTGCATTCTCTAATCTCGTATGTGTCTTTATGCAGCACTTGTTTTGATGGAACATCTGAAAACACAGTTAAAAGATTCATCACTTATCCCAGATACAGTCAAATCTACTGATTTTTTAGATGCTTGCAACTTATTAAAATGCAATAATGACGTTGCTGCAACTATGGAAGAGCTAAGTACAAATGTTGGTGTTGATATACAAACATTTCTGAGAAGGTACGTTTACCAAGTTTATGAGAATTCACCAAACATAAGTGACTCTATGGTAGTGAATTGTTTATCAAGTGATTTATCAAGGGAGACGGGGATCAAATTGAATGTTATGTTGTTTTCCATGCTAAGAGCTAGAGCTTTATTACCAATGAATACAGAGCATATTGACCATCTCTTCCCTGGACAGTTGTGAAAGACGTACAACACTAGCCAACCACTTGAACTTTATTATCAATGAATACAGTGAAATTTCCGGTTCTCTCTGCTGAACAGCTGTGAAAGATGCACGACATGTGTCTCTAAGCAAATTTATTTACTAACCAACCACTATAACTGAATAAACGGAAGAGAACAAAGCTAATGGAATTCTAAGTCTTTCTTTTAGGTTGTTTACATGGTCTTGCCCTAGAATTGTTTCTTGAAAGTTGAAAGAGACATTTGATTACTACATTTTCATTATGTTTTTTTATAACTTCTTCACTTGATGCATCTGTTTCTGTTTCCTCTTCCTGTTAATCCCTCCTTTCTATTTCTCTCATTCCGTTCCAACTGCCCACCTTTTCCTTACTTCCTTCTAAACTACCGGTACTGTTTATGTGAAAATAATTGAATTGCTGACAAAAATTGTCAGGAAATGAATACAACAGTGAATGTGATTATGTGAATATTCTTGTCTGTCTGGCTATAAGAAACAACTTTAATTTGTGGTACTGAATAATCCTACTCTCTTTCTCTCGTTTCTATAACAACACATGGTTCAAACCTGGCCTTGGCTTGGAAACACAACTTGTCCATTTGACCATCACACATTATGCCTCTTATGCTTTTATTAAAGTATGTATACATGTCAACTTAATATATATATATATATATATATATATATATATATATATATATATATTTTTTTTTTTTTTTTTTTTTTTTTTGTACAGTCCACCAACTTCCAAACGAAAGAAGCAGAAAGTTGGAAGCAGAGAATAAAAGGTTGAGCTGATCTTGGAGTACCTGAAATTTCTAGCTTATCCTTATGACAAGGCCTCAATATTTTCTGTAGAAGCTCTGATTTTAAGTGACCTCCTCATTGGCAAATACACAGTAGTATAGGTTGTTTATAGTTTTTGGTTTTTGACAATTTTATTTTGCTATTTGCATAGCAGAGAAACAGCTGGAGCAAATTTGCAAGTTAAATTTAGAAAATTGTTGCTAAAATGTGTAGCAAATGCGTAAGCCAATGCAAATTTTGGAGGTAATGAGATGTGGGAGCTGACTTTTGTACGTGTAAAGAACCAATTCAACCCAAAAGCTTAAGCTTATGGATGAGGCTATATTAATGGCTTTATATATATTTCTAACACGTTCCCTCACACGAGAGTCCATTGGGCTTGAAGGGTGAGTAATGCACAGGTCAACTTACCTACTTGTGCTAAGAAAATTCACAAGAGAAAGTGGGGGTTGGTGAGAATCGAACTCGAGATACCGAGGCTCTGATAATATGTAAAGAACAAATTCAATCCAAAAGTTTAAGCTTATGGATGAAATTATATTAATGGTTTTATATATCTCTAGCAGTATGTGTGGATTGAGGTTGAATGAACATTGTGACCTTGTTTTAAATTTTTTACCATTTTGCCATTCTTTTCAAATTATATACTAATCTGTTACTCTTTTCAAATTATATATTAATCTGTCTTTGTTTGACTAATTTATTGTAAAACCCACATGTGAGATAATTGAGAACTTTGGGGTAGAAATTTAATTTTTGAAGAATATAGGACATGTTTCGAATTTCCAAGAAATGTGAGTAGTTACCCTCAATTTTATTTATTTATTTATTTATTTGTAAATGGGTAGCAAATCAGAAATTTGTAGAACCTTTATAGGAATATGTTTGGGTGTTTGTGTGCTCATATTATAGTCCTACACTCCCTTGCAATCAGCCACTTGATTGAGGATCAAGGGATGCATGTACTAGCTTCTGCAAATTTCAGAACCCCTCTGAATTTTCCCAACTCACATCCATTTCAGAATTTTGTCAACACCCACTCCCTTCAACTTTCCCTCTAGGGTGTTCCAGCACTACACACTATTGCCATAGGAATTTCCTGAACACCTCCTTCTTCCTTGTACGAACCTAGAAGCAAGAAAACACCCTATTCCTTCTTCTCTTCTGTGAATTTTGCTACTGTCAATGGGAAGAAACAAGTAAAGGAGGATGAAATTACTTCTCAGGCCCTGCATGTGCCGATGAATGTGTAAGATGATAGCTGAAACAACTTTCTAAGGCATCCTTTTTATAAAGGCGAGTGTGCATTCTTGGCTAGAGTCTAAAGGGGGGTTTGATAGGGGAGAAATTTTATTTTGTTCGGGAATCACGATTTTCAGAAATATAACGAAAAATTAATTTTTCCGGGAATGTTATTAAAAAATTGTTTGGTGTGTTCAAATTTTTTCGAGATTATTTGATTGAGTTTACTGAGTTTGTTTTTGATTGATTGTGAAATATTAGTGAAAATGTGAATTGAATTTACAAAATAGCCTTTCATCGTGTTTGTCTTTCATCGTTCTCTTATAAGCTCTCTCTCTCTCTCTCTCGTTTTTGTCTCCAATGTTTTTGTCTTTAATCGTTCCCTTACGACAAAGGAAAGCCAAGTTTCAGCGTAAAAGCAAATACATTTTCAGAAAAGCAAAACAAGATTTTGATTCTACACGAGCAAATCTACTAGTTAAGCTCAGTGAGGAAATCAACGAGCAAAACGAAGCCAAGTTTTAGGGAGCTATTCGATTTTCTGAGTCACACAAAGCAAAGCTAGGACATTTTACATTGAGGTATTTTGGTCCAGAGTTTCACGATTTATTTGTTACTTCCCCAAGAAAGGAAGAATTCTAACTAATGTGTGGTATTTTTTGGTTAGTAAACATTGTCACTTTTACACATCAGGAGAAAATCCAGGCATAAAACTTTACGAAAAGTTTTATTTTTGGCTTACCAAACATTGCATTCTAATTTATCCAATCTGACTTTTCCAGATTTTTAAAAATAAACCTGGTATCAAACACCACCTTAAAATCAACATATCAAATTTCAAAAGCACTTAAACTTGTCCAGATTATTATCATTTTTCTTATCTTCTAATTTGAGACTGATTTGTAATGCAAAATATAACCAAATTAAATTACTCATCAAGATTTTGTACTGAAAACAAAATCACTTATTTAGAATTTGAAATTAATGACAATTCAATTTTTATATCAATCTAGTGCGTGGCCCAACATCCCAACAATTGACTAATTTTAATATATTAGTTTGTGAATAAATTCTTCATAAAAATGTGTAAATATATATTAATTCCATTGTACGGAGCATCATGGGGTAGTATAATTTCTGAATATTAGCCTAGGCCCTCAAGCATATATAACTGATTTTCTAGCATATGATGTCATTTGCTCGGAAAACAAGGTGGAAAGTGGGAACGGAAAATCACATATTCAAACTTTCCTTTTCAATAATTACATCACACAGAAGGAAGAAATCCCATTCCAAATGTTTTGCTGTTAACATCACCAGGATAAATATTATTCACAAAAGATTCATAGCACATGTGGACTTTCTTCAAAGTGAAAATAACACTCCATTAATTATTGTACCAACTCTTGGCAGGTATTTACTACATGCATTATTGAACCTTCATTGACATGAAACTTCCCTAATGATTTTCTTAAATTTTCGTTTAATGAGGTGCCTATGCGGTTTCGATTATTTTGTGTATTTCTACAAAGGAGACCTGACTTGAAGAGCCTGTTAATGTAAAAATCTTTTACCACAAAACAAAAATAATTTTTTTAGAGAAAGATAAAATTATTAACAAAAATATATTTCTGCCGTTAATGCAGATAAGTTATCTGTATTTATTTTCAAAACGACGTCGTTTTGGGATTGAAAGATTAGAAAATTATAATTATAAAGACTATAATAACCCTGAAATAAATTAAAATTACGAAAACACCATGATTTTCACCTCAAAACGACGTCGTATTGGGCTCACTGCAGATAACTTATCTGCAGTAACTGTAGAAAAAGCGAACCCAATTATTAATGTAGACTCATTCAACCGTTTAATCTTTTGTGTTGAATTGGTTTTTTATATGATTTCATAGCATCAGTAAGTAAATGGTCATGAGTTCGATCCTCAGCGCCCCTCATTCTATTAATAAAAAAGACTGAGTTTGATACACCATCCACCCATCAAGTCCAATGGACTCTTGTGTGAAGAGGCATGTAGAGAACTATAAAATCATTAATGTAGCATGAGTTCTCGTGTGAGGGGACATGTTAGAAAACTATAAAATCATTTATGTAGTCTGGCCCAATAACTTAAGTTTACTTTGTGTGTGCTAACTTAATTTTACTAGAAAGTGGGGGGGGGGGGGGGGGGGGGGGGGGTTGACACTACTAGAAAATGATGAAATTACGACCGGCACACAATTGCGACAAATTTTTGTGCAAATTTCCGTCGCAAAAATCCCGTTACAAAGTCCATCGCATTTCTGTCTGAAGACTGTCACAAATTGTGACGGCAAACACTTTCATCGCAACAATGGAATATTTGTGACTGACCGTTGCGACAAAATTTTTTACGACGACATTATCCGTTGCAAACCTGAGGAGCTAACTTTGCGATGACGGTGAGATTGTATCCGTTGCAATTTGTGATGGGTTTTGTGATGTAAACTCCATATATGATTTGCGGCAGATATCTATAAATAATTTGCGATGAAATACATTTGCGACAAAACATGTCTGTTGTAAATACTTTTTTTTAACAATGTGACGAGGATCATATTTATAATCCAGTTAACTTTGATACCATGATAAACAACAATATTATGTAGTTTTGTAAAATTTAATTAGTGGAGGGTTACAAACTTTTCTTTTACAAACTCTTAAAAACTATACTATGTAATAGGATAATACAAGTGTGCTGGAATGTACTACCCCTAGTATATAGTCTAATTTGTAAACAAGATATTTGTAAACATAATTTCAAAAAAAACATTTCTGCAGTTGTGGCAGACATATTTTTCTACAGCACGCTATATACTACCGGTAGTACATAGTGTGTTGCTTTTTTTTTTATATTAGTGAGTCCCACTTTTTGTGTTAGTGGCAGACACTTTTTTTTCTGCCATAACTCACAGCTGCAGAAATTTAAAGCCCATATAATTTTCTCCATTTAATTATTGATAATGATAATAGAAGAATTGAACAACGTAGTAAATAAATATCTAGAGGATTAAGCATGGGGCAACGAAAGCAAGTCCACGAATTGTTATCCGTGGAATTTGTATCGCTCTTATTTGCTTGGCATATATAAAATTCAAATTTTTGACAAGAAATACATGAGAGAGATAGAGAAAGAGACGAAAAATCCAATAGCGAAGTATTCTTTTGGGTGATTGTAGCAAAATGGTTTGATGTTTGTCATTTTAGAAGAGAGATAGACACAGAAAATAGAAATTATAAGAGAAAGAAGGTGGTAATTTTTTTTTAATTTAAATTTTAAATAAAAAAATTTATTCTATTCTATCTCACTTCCAAAATAACATAACTTTATGTAATTTAAAATGACATAACTTTATATCATTTAAAATGACAAACACTTTTCCCAGCAAAATATAATAATAATAGGTTAAGATATATTTATGGTCTTCATAATATTTATTTTTTAAAAATAAATTTTATTTAATTCAGTACTATACATATAATTATTTTTAATTTGGTAGCTATTTGTTGTTATTATAATAATATTAGAATAATTGACATCAACTTAAAAATAATTTGGTTAAATTACAATTTAACACCCTATGCTTAGACCTTTATTTAAAAAACCACCATGTGTTTACAAAAAAAAAAAAACAAAAACCACCATGTACTTTTATTAAAATAATAAACCTTGTTATCAAAAAAAATAAAAATAAATAAATAAATAATAAACCTCCTTTCACTCTATGACTGTAACCTATGAAGTACCAACACTTCAAAAATCCTGACGTGTCGTGTCCGACACTTCTCGACACTGTAACACTCATTATAAAAATTCAAAAACAAAATCAAAGGTTGCATTGCGTTGAGTTTTTAGTTCCAACTATTAGATTTGTTGGATTACGATTATCATTTTATTGAGTTTAATATAAATATTTGAGATATCTAATGTTTCTTTGCAAAATTGTTGAATATTATAAGTTTAGTTTCATTTTTTTGTTAAATTATTGAATATTAAATATAATATACACTACATAAATTAAAAATATTATTTAATATCAATACGTGTCCTAACGTGTCGAAATCTAACATTTTTTAGAATTAACGTGTTGGAGTGTCGTGTCGTGTCACGTGTCTTGTATCAATATCGGTGTTACATAGATGAATATTATAAGTTTAGTTTCATTTTTTTGTTAAATTATTGAATATTAAATATAATATACACTACATAAATTAAAAATATTATTTAATATCAAAACGTGTCCTAACGTGTCGAAATCTAATATTTTTTAGAATTAACGTGTCGGAGT